CAGGTGGATTCGCCGTATCAGTACGGGTACCATTTGGAGACTGTATTATCATCGGATTTTGACTCATGTTTTATCCAGAAAACTAAAAGGGAGCAAAGCCCTGACGATGGGTTACAAGCGCAATGTCAGTCCTGTAAGCTTTGCACGTAGTGACAGGTCACTTTTAAATAGGCCGCACCTAACCTGAAAAACAGACGCCTTTTGCAGCCGCTCAATATGAGTACCGACGCTACGTTGTGGAATGCAATACAATATATAGAGGGTGTTTTCTATATACCTACTGTTAGCTTCAGAGCTGTGTTTTGTGGCGGAAAACATATAAAAATTTATATGGAAGAAGAGAGGTCAATGAACATACCATCCAAAAAAATAGTTATCCAAAAGCTCCAATATTTCAATATTTGTTAGTCCATTAAAAATTAAACAAAACATATAATTAAAATATGTTTATTTAAATGTATACGCAAACTATATTAAAAGAATGGATATTCAATATAAATATAAATAAAATTGAATAAGGACTATTATCTCTATATAACATATGTCTACTATATATATCTTCTATATAATTATTATTACTCACACTTGATATTTTATTTAAAGCCATATATTTTTAAAACTTGGTTAATAATTGGTACATAATTCTTAATTAACACATAATATATAATTTAAAAGATTATATTGTCTTGTTTTTCATTGTTAGTCAAAAAACTATCACTACTCATTTTTATAATCATCCGTTTATAATGATTCGTACAATTATTAAACTTTTCGCCTAAGCCGACTATTGAACTCTATTCGAACTTTTCATATCTTCGAATCTAACCCTTATATTGTTTTTATTTTATTTATTTATTATTTATTGAATAATAATGCAAACATTTTAAAGTCAGTTAAAAATTCGAGTTTTGGAATTGAATTGGACTTTATTTAAGAAGTGTTGGAAAGGTTTATAAACTACAATTTAGTTTATATTTATAATTCCAAATAGAAAATCCTCTTTGTGTAAAATCAACTTTTCAATAGTGTATTGAAAGTAGTAAAACACTCCACACCTGATGTATTTTTTTGAGATATTGTTTTAAGTCTGTTAATATTAAAATTTTTTTTTGACTCCATACAACTCGTTAAACATTAGTTTATATCCCATCCCTAGTATATAACTGCAGGTGAGCTATTTCGAGGTATTAAATTCCTAACTATAAATATATTTATGAATACATTATCTTAACTTTAATTATTATTCCAAGATATTTCGATTTTCGATTAAACTCCTGTTATAGTTTTATTTGATACATTACGCCTTAGATATTAATGCAAACAATCCATTTTTTAGTAATTATTTGTAAATTGTTATATATAAGATATAGCAATTTAAAATATTTGTAGAGTTGTTAGTAAATTAATTTATAAATTAAAATTGTTGGTACCATAAAACCTTTTTCTATTCGAAAATTGATTTATTGTCGTAGAACAGAAAATTTGTGAATGACTATTAAAAATTATTAGTTCAGTTCTGTGAGATTGTACAAAAATCTATTAATATTTATATGATGTAACTTCATATACAGTATATAGCATAATTTTTATGACTCACAAATATCTGTATATTATAATTCATTTATTGCGTCATAATAAATAAACTTACCAATTTCAGCATAGTATCCGTAAGAGTATCTGCTCTATATTTAACACCAAAATAATTTTTAAAAATTCACAAAATAATTTCGTTATTTCGTTATTTCACACGTAAACAGTCTGTGTTGGTTTGCAAAATTTATAATAATTTAAAGTTTTTTTTTTTTTGTATAGAAGTTTTTTTATTAAAAGCCAACGTTGCTAAACCAATCTTTACCTGTTCGAAAAACAATTTCAAACTGAAATGGTAAAGTGCACTGCAAATTGTATCTAAACAAAAAATGAAGAAAAAATCTATTGTAGAAATAGAATTTTTTTAAACAAATTTTACACTTGCACGAGACTCTGCGAAACAACGTACTCAAAAGAAAATCAAGGCGTTGTACGCTTTTATACCAAAGTCCGTTCGCAAGCGGAAAATAACAACAGAGCTGAATTAAGTTCGGTTAAGAGCGATCAGCTGCGATATCTGGTAAACAAACCTGGCCACCAAACCATATTGTATGTGTGGCAATAGAGTTGCAGATACTGGAGCAAAAATTGGACTCGCTTTTGCTAGTTTGGTTCTGGCGTTGTAAAAACTGAGCTACTTTAGTTGCGCTTGCAAGTGTGCAATGCAAATACTGGGCGAAGTTACTTTGGAATGCAGTCAAGAAAAATTTCATCTGTATAGGAATTCAACAATTATACGCCCGCTTGAGGTACGAGTATCTAACTACAATTACAATTAATAAATTACATTATGCTGAAACGTATCAGTAAGCAATGGGTGTCCGCTTATGTATGTGTAGTGTTTATGTATAAAATCCAAATAAACGCGTCATTTTGCGATATTAAAATCATGATTTGTAGACATTTTCAAAACATTATTAAACTAAAAGCGGAGCACATTATGAGGAATGAGAAAGTGAAGCGTAAATATCTCAAATAGTTTCAATTAACGTTGATAGCATTGCATATTTAAATATATCAACTATAAACTACATATATAATAATAAATTTAATCGAATAAATTACACAATTTTGCTAAGTATCAAATAAAAATATTATATATTACCATAATTTACACAGGTGACAGGTTTTAATATTATAATTGATGTACACTCACAATTATAACATATTTACTACATGAAAGCATGCATAAAGTATCTATAAAATTTTTACACTTCCGTGTAAACCACTATTTTGAAAGTACTTACGAAATATGTGAGATAAAGTCCTAACCGTCATACTGTAAACCTATTATGTCAGCTATTGAAAATCGCCTCAATTTTAAATGGAATAAAACAAATACTGGTTTAATAACTACGAAATTTGGTACTACAAAGTGCATTTAGTTCTTCATTGCACCAATTTAAGATTGCTAATAGTTCAATTTTTATGTTGAGACCAGTTGAGTCAGTGTACTTCAACACTTTTACTCTCTAATAACTGCGGCGTTCCTTCATAATCCCTCTCTACACTTTGACTGAATTATTGTTTATCACTTCATCAGCCCAAGCAATAACAGACCTCAGATCTGCATACCTCCCCGAGGAGCGTGTAACCATTTTCTACACTTTGACTGAATTATTGTTTATCACTTCATCAGCCCAAGCAATAACTGACCTCAGACCTGTATACCTCCCCGAGGAGCGTGTAACCATTCGAAGATTCGAAAACGCGTAAATAATTTCAGGGCTCTATCCTTTATGTATTTTTTGATCAGATCAAATTAAATTAAAAATAATAGATTTACTTCTCAACAAATTTAAAATTTATCTATGTTCATACGTGCATATAAACACAGTTATAAATTGGAATAATAAAGTCAATTATATTAACCACAGCAACAGCAGCTATGCTTTATTTTAGTTCTGAGCAAAATCGTTATATGTGTATACACTTGAGTATCTATAGATTTTTTATTGATTTATTTTAAATTGTATTTTTCTAGTTTCAAATTAACAATTTATATTCAAAATTTAAAGCACTAAACATAAACACTTAAAAAAAATTAATTTTTATCCAATAAACATTAAACCACTTATCTTATAAACTTAAAGCAATTAGTAAGTTGAAAAAGTGAAAGTAAAAGTGAAATTAATACTAAATACTAAATACAAGTTACGATCAAATTTATACGAATTTAGGATATTAATAATAAGATCAAGCTGACATATTAAGACCAACTCCAAGTTCGATCAAATTTATATGAATTTAGGATATAATTAATAAAATCAAATTGACATATTATGGAAACTATTGTTTCAGGACCGTAAGATGTCAATGATGAAGTTTATTATAACGTAGAAAATACTTTGCACTGCAACTCGGTCTATTATGCTACGGAATGATAGCGTATTTTATTTTTTGACAATATATGTGTATATGTATTACATGCATCTTCAACTTTCGGGAGAGATATCAATCACGTTTGATGTTTATAACTCCTGATATATACTGGCAATAGATGAGATAATACACATCATAGTCAAATTTATTTATAACAATTTAAGCAAGTAAATATAAACATAAATTTAGGTAAGGACTTAGAAAAAAATGGTCGTTTTAATTTCTAATTACTTACTTAATTGGCCATTACAGATGTGAACAGCCCTTGACCGCTTCGAGTAGCTTCCGCCTGATAGCCTGATTTGTTGCTTGCTGTCGCCAGTTGGTAGTACCGAGCGCTCCTAAAACGTTGGTCACCTGGTCCGTCCACCGAAATTGGCCATTACAGATGTGAGCCGTCCTTGACCGCTCCGAGTAGCCTCCGCCGGCTAGCTAGATTTGTTGCCTGCTGTCGCCAATTGGTAGTACCAAGCGCCCCTTAAACATTGGTCACCTGGTCCTTCCACCAAAGAAACGGACGTCGGCTACCGCGTTTTCCACCTGTGGGTATCAAATTAAACACCTTTCTAGCCGGAGCACTTTCTTCCATTGCAATATCCAATTACTTACATTATTTGCGTTAGATCATTCCAGTTGGATCTGTGTAATAATACTATGAAAAAAAAAGAGAACAGCAAAAAGTACTTTTTACAGTTTAAGTTTATTATTTACAGTTCAAGAATAATAGATTTTGTTAGAACTTTCTGTAATAGTATTGCTCCAAAAAATTTAGTAGAGTCTAAGGAAGATCGCTGTGAGTTATGTGTTTCTCTATTAAGATGTTATTGTTATAGTATATATTATTGTTATATAGTGTATAATTGTTATATTGATCATCATTTATATAGATAAATTAAATGTTTGTTATTGTTGAAATTAATATAATATACAATATAGTACAATATATTTAATATTTAGGAATATTATTAGTAAAATGCTAATATTAAATTAAATTTTATTGTAATATATATATTAATCACATGATTGTATTATTTTTACTTCAACAAATGATTATAATAGTACGTATTATTAAAACTGAGAAATAATAACAGAGGCCATTACGATCGAGATCGTTGTTTTGATTTAACTTTTTTCAGTAGTTCCTCCACATCTACAGATAATTTTTTAATAACATCTTCGAGTAAGTCTATACGATTTGCTAAACTAAACAAATATATAATACTATAGTATGTATATGTATATAACTTTAATATATTTTGTACTTAATAATTTTTCGTCTTTCTTCATCCCTTATATAATTTTCAAAATACCTAAAAGATAATATTACCATTTTAAATATTTTATACAAAAATTCTGAATTAATCTTACTCTCTTACAACAAAACTTTCAGTCATATTCGACGGTTCATTAGTTGGTTGATGGGTTGTATTCTGATCCACCGATGTGGGTTTTGGTTCAGTAACTGCCTCAGTGGATTCATTCGATAATGTTGTTACTTCTTGTTGTCTCTTTCTGTTCGTTAACATTCTCTGTCTTAACTTTTTCATAGCATTAGATAGGTAAGTATTTAATTCTCTTGGTCCTGACTTAATATCATTTTTAATTGTATTATAAGTATCAAATATAATAGCCAAAAACATATTCTACAAAATATATATACAAATATCATAATCTAATCATTTCTAAAAACGAAAAAATTATCTTACCATTAGTATAAAATAAACCAGCGCTATATATGAAATGAAAAAAATTGGGCCTAATGTAGGACTACCGTATTCCAAATTAGTATAATCGAAGGTACCCATCATAATGCTCATTAGTGTACTTAAAGTATTTAGTAAAGTACTAAACTCTACTACATGTTGACTAAATAAAATGAAGCCACAAACAGCATACGCCATCAGAATTATAAAAAACATTACGCCAAATCCCAACAAATCCTTATAACACTTAAAAAAAAAGAAATGAGAACGTAAATATATATATATATATATAGAAAATTCACATTCAATTTATAGTTAACTTTACTCTGTTTAAAGTCTCTGATAACTGCAGTAAAGTCTTATTGAACGAGATATATTTAAATATTTTCATGAACAGAAGAAATGCGCAAATAGCAATTAAATCATTATATATTACATTCCAGTAAGCGATTTTGTCTAAGTTCACATATTCGTCAGGATCTTCCGCTAATTGCAACAAATAATTTCCATATATTGGATGATATATGTTATAGATAAAACTAATAATCGCGATCTATTATCAAAGATATGTAGATATTGATTTTATATGAAAATATAATAATTTTGCACTGACCACTAAAACAGTTATATCTATAAAATTCCATAGTATACACAAATATGTCCAAAAACCATTTTTTCTAATTTCTTTTACTTCCTCCAAAGTAAATTTAACCGTCAGCACATAAAATATTATAGCGCATATTATGGCGAAGTAGTCACCACTTAACCATAGGCCACCCAATTTTATGGATCGCAGTTGTGCACTAGATATCATACCACCAGTTGGAGGAACTTCTCCTAAAAATCTGAATGTAAATAATATATAACTCTGACGTGGGTATATTACATATAAAAAATATAATACCCACTTTACACTTTCATATAACTCTGAGTCTTCATTAAATAAACAAAACTCAAGTATAACAATTCTTGTTCCTCTATCAACCCAATCACTGTGTCGTAAACCTTTTATAATTTCTTCAGTTTCTTCCTTATCATAACTCAAATTTTCCACATATCCCGCACCTCTATAAGTTGCTAATTTTCCCTCTATAGAAGTAGCACTTAAATCACTTAACGTAAAGTATTTAGAGCTTAAATCATTTATATATAAAACAATTATATTTTAAGGTATAACAAATAATAATTACACAAACCTCTTATAATTATCAGTTGTTTCTTCAAATCTCTTTGAATACTTCGGATAACATACTTGAAAGTATCGCCGTATTTCACTATACGTATAACACTCTTCAGCGTTAACACGTATTTGCCTTAGACGCGGTGGACCTAGAAGTAGGTTTTTTTCCATAAAAACTCTTGGAGTTCCATTGTTTTCCATTCCATTGTACATTGTTTCTAGAAAATGATTTTCTAAAAAATAGTACCAATCAGAAAGTCTACAGATATCGTTGAAAGATATTATAAAATTATTTGCTGTTTCGTGTCTTTCCAGAAAGAATTTGTAAATAGTTTTGTTGTAGTAGTACATATAACTATGTCTTGAAGATAATGCGACTATAAACAAACTTTTTAAAGTAACATAAAAATCTAAAATATTAAAGTCGTTACCGATAACTGTTACAAATAGAAAACATATGTATAAACCGAATTCCCGTAAAGATTTGCGCACCTCTGTTACATCAGAGTATCTTACTTGCTTACTCTTCCCAGAAAAAGTTTTATTTGTATGCAATTGAGGTTTTTCCATATCTTTCACTTACTTCTATGGATTATATGGTAACAAAATAATTATATTCAGTGAAGAAAATATCGATTTATGACTAGTAAATTTTGCAAATGTTTTCAAAGCTTACTATTTGAAAAACATGACAACTAAAGTTAAAATTGGTGTATATAAAAATACTATCTAATGTCTTTAATGTTATAATAATAATAGGCGTATAGCAAAAATACCTTGAACAATAGTATACGAAGGTATTTTCAAACTGTGCTAATGCTTTAGTAACCAGTACATTCTTTATAGATCTGAACTTAATCTAGCTCTTACTATTTACTCGCCACTCTAAAAGTTTTCATATGTTCCATAAATATTACATTCTTTTCAAATGTTCTTTTCGGTTCTTGCAATTTTTATTTGATTTTATTTTATATCGCACCTCCATAGCAATACGACACTTAACAGCACTACGGAAAAACTGTACCTGATCAGATTATAACTACTTAATACATAGTTATTTCTAACACAAAAACTTATCTGTTCTTGGTGTGCCTAAACCACCTCATATAATAATGTCTTAGACCTTTGGACAACCTTTAGATTTCATCATTCGCGTCTGTCACCTGTGCCATGCCCATGCTTCTGGCTTATATAAGCCTATCGATCACATATCTCTCTCTTAATTACTGGAAGTAAGTCTCCACATTGCGATAGAAATCTTCTTCATTCATTTTTAAGAAGTGGTTTTAATGAGTTAAAGCCTCACACTATCTACTTCTACAAAAGCTTATTCATATTGGCATTTCCTTATTTCACTCATCCCAAGCCCAACTTTTAATATTATTCCATTATCCTGGTTCTCCATTAGCTTATGAAGCATAGTGAAAGCTAAGAGTGTAATGATTTCAAATAACATTGTCTTTATATATATATTTGATGAATGTCAAATTTACAATATTTTTGTGAAGAAAAACGTTCACATATTTATGTTTAAGAACAAGCACACTATTGTACCTCTCTGACATACATATTCAGTGTTACTATAATAATTTTATTTTCTTTTTCTATATAAGCCTTGCCACCTTACAACCGTTTAATTTTTATTTGCTTTGCATTCTAATGGACTAAAACTAAAAGACGTCAAAGATTTTGGTTATATAGCTCTATTATTTTTATAAAAAATTAAAAACATATTGTTTAATTTTAAAAAAAATTTGTATTTAATTTAATATTAATATTCGTAATAGTGCTATTTAAAAATTGTATTTGATCATAATTTTTAAACGAAAAAAATAATATACGACGATATATATAATGTTACTATAAAAATTATATATATCATATTTAAAAGAGTTAGTTTCCCTAAACTTATGCATTTTTCTTATCCCTTCGTTTCTTAGCATCAACTTTTTTTATTATCGTATCCAAGTTCACTATTAAACCTTCTAAAATTTTTTCCAACAATGTTACTCGATCAGACAAACTTAAAAAAAGAATGAACAGATACAATTATATATAGAAATAAACAATCTCTATGCAAACCTATTTAGTTGTAAACGATTCGCAGGTGGTTCATATACTTCAAAGTAGCTGTAGAAATAAAAAAGGTATATAGTCATAGTATATTTTATATAAATAATTATATATTATATATTCCATTTATTTTAGTAGTGATTGCTTTATGTATGTAAAAAAAAAAACAATACTAACTCTCTTATCACTTCACTTTCAGTTACATAAATTACTTCTGGATCGCTGCTTTTTGCTGATCTAGTTGTTGTTAGTGAAGTTCTAGGATAAAGTGTTGTTTCGCTGCCCTTTTCAGCTGGTGCTTCTACATTTTTAAGATCACGATCTTCCTTTTTACGACGCTTTATTATTCTTTCAAATACTTTTTTAAATATTTTCTTCAAATATACGATGACCTCATTTTTACCCGCAGTAATTTCTTCTTTCACTGCACTGTAGGTGTCATTGATGATAGCCAAGAACATATTCTAAATAAAAAAAAATTAAATTTAGATAAATTTATTAACTTAAAACACAAACACTTACCAACAAAATAAAGAACACTAACAATATATAAGATAAAAAGTATAGTGGTCCTAATATACGATTAGCACTTTCAATGCCTGCATAATCAAAATCTCCAAGTATCATACGTAGTAGTGTAATCAATGATTCCCAAAAAGTACAGAAGTCATAGTTATAAGCGCCGAAAAGCAAAAGCCCCAGTTGTGCATAAGCCAAAAATACAATTAAAAACATTAAACCAAAACCCAGCAAGTCCTTGGCACACTAATTTAATAAAGAAAATTTTTAATAGATTATATTAAACTATATATGTACTCCCCAAGTACACGAGTACTTACCCTTTGTAGAGTTGTACTGAACTGTAGCAATGTTTTGTTAAAACTAATATATTTGAAAACTTTAATGCATATAAAAAATGCACAAACTGCCAACAAGTCTGCATACAAAGAGCTCCAGAAGCATATATTATCCAAGCTATGAAAGCCATCCTCGTCTTCTGTCACTCGTTTGAGCAAGGCTTTTACAAGGAATATGTGAATAATTTGATACACAAATGCTAAATATGCCATCTGAAAAATATGAATATCTTAAGAAAATAGCTAATTAAACATAATTAAAATTTACAGTTAGTATTAGTACATCCACAATATTCCATAAAGAACTGAAGTAATTGCGCCAACCAACGAGACGCCATTCCCTTACTGCTTGTGTTGTGTAGAAAACAATCATTATGTAGAAGATAATAGCGCAGATTATTAGAAGATAGTCGTCGTCAGTCCATATTTCATGTGTATTGAATGACTCCAACCTCTTGCTTGTTATTATACCACCCGAAATAGGTGTCTCTGCAATTATTCTTTAGAAGTTATGTAATTTTTGTAACTTACTTGTCAGTAACAATCAAAAACAAGAAAACAGTTAAACTTTTTTACAAATATAAACATTTTTAAATATATCCCCTGAAGATATATTATGTCTTCTATCAATTTTATAGGTGTTACAGTCACTTAAATCCTACAAAATCCAATAAACCTCAGTTGTGGAAACTTAAGTAGGAAATCAAATAATTACTACTAAGATAACTGGTTCCAGGACGGATTAGTATTAAATATTTCTACTGACTTAAGAACCTTTAAGCATATAGCCAAAGCATTTGCTATTTAAAATTTATAACAATTAACTTGACCATTTAACCTTAGGTAAAAGTGGTGGCCGTGTATACCAAAAAAGCCTGCTTAAACACAAATAATAGTCCGCTGTGGACCATTTTGCCTTAGTTGGCAATATCTTTTTGCAGTTGCTTATGATAGAAAAATTAATTAATCTAAATGAAACCAATGAATGTATATGATGCAATTGAATATGATCAAAGAAGTCTCTCAATTCATGTAAGAATGAAAATAAAATAAATAAATACTGGAAGATTGGTAGTCCCAGTTCTTCTGACAATATAACATATTTTTATAGTTAAAAGTGGAGTCGTGAGGAGTACCTATAAATTAAGAACGAGTGGTTTCAATCGCTCACATCCTCTTTCTCTTTATTTTGTCCTCTTATTCGACAACTTTGATTTTTGTACTCAATTCTCGCCTTATCATTTGTGATCTACTCTCCCGTTTAAAGTTGTAAATGATAAAGCATATTATCATCGCAGAGCAGGTTAGTGAAAAAGTAATTCTCTTTCATATCTACAATGGTGAATAAATGGTAAGTAAATTTTTTAAATTTATTTTTCTTTTTTACATAAGTATAAGATATATCGAATAGTTTATAGATCTCTGTCTAATTTTAGTACAGAGCTGATCTTTTACGCATAGATTATATAAATAAATATAATAACTTTACAGTACAACAATCCTATTAGGTAAGCACACAGCTACAGAAAGTTCATATATAAAAGAAAATTCATATATATATTTATTTTACTTACTTAACGTTAGTGAAAAAATCTCCATTTGCATTGTACAAGCCAAACTCTAAAACTACAACACGTGTAGCACGATCAATCCATTTTTCCTCTTTAAGTGACTCTAGTGTATCTATCGTAGCATTCATATTGTAATCTAATTCTTGAACATAACCTGCACCATAATAAGTGGCATACTTAGCCCATATCGGTCGATCATTCAACTCATCCAATGTGTAAAACTTTGATCTATAAATATGTATAATACATATTTTATAGTTATATAGAAACTTCTAATACCCTTGAAAATCTGCCTCCTTTTCTTCTGTTGTTTCATGATACTGTGCATAGCAATCACTAAAATATCTTTTGAAAGCATCTGGTATATGACACGAATCACTTTTAACACGGATTTGCCTTAATCGTGGTGCCCCCAATAATATATTTTCTTCAAGAAAATATCGTTCATTTATTACGTCATTACCATTATTATCACCCAAGAGCGCGGGTGCAAATCCATTTTCAGCATATAACCACCATTCTGCTATTGTAACTAAATCATAGTATTCTGGAGTGATTATGAATAGATTTTCTATTGTCTTATATAAATAAAACATATATTTATGATTGACTGATGATGCCACTAAAAATGGATTATTAAATTGATAAATATTTTTTGTTTTAAAACAGTTAATACCAATAAGTGCAACAATCAGGAAAAGTAAATATAATAAGAATTCCTTTAAGGCATTACGAATTTCTATATCATTTTCATATCTTGTTGAATAATTTTTATGTGTAGTCTTCTTTATTTGTACTTCTTCAACTACTTCAACTACTTCAACTTTTTCAACTACAGTAGTCTTCTCTAATTCACTTGTGGTTTGAGTTGAAACTGACTTCATCTTTAATATTTTTAGTTAATTTTTTAAAATATTTTAATTGACTTTTGTGATCAAGTTGACTGCTTTTTTATATATAATGTATTATATATATAGATATCATGTATGATATATAGATATAATCGAAATAATTAAATTTAAAAGGCTTTTATAATAAGAGAAATAAGGTTTTTAAAATAATTTAATTACCATTTTATTACTACTTGAAAATTGATTCTAAAAGTAGACCCTCCCGCCCTTCCACAAATTTTCTCTCATATCTCGAACGTAGAAAACATCTTCAAAATAATACCACATTGGTTAAATTTTAATTGCACCGCAGATGCAAATCTGTATTCACGGTTTCAAAAAAGAAATAAATTTTACAATATATTCTAAAATAAATACTTAAATAATTTAAAAATTATATATTTGGAAAATTGAACGTTGACAACTTTTTAATCTGTACTAATGCATCAATGATATTGTCCATATAAAGATTAAGCTATAGTGCATACCTATGCGGTTAAAAAATAATTAGAAAGTACACAAATTTTTTTACCAAAACATATATTTGTCACGTAGTTATTTATGATAAATCAGATATAAAATATCGAGCTGGTATATAATTAAACAATTTTGTTAAACGTTTTATTGTAACTGTATCAAATATTTTTTCGACAGCTGGACGTAGCTCTTCGAATAAAGTAGGCCAATTATCATTAAATATGGCATTTGCACTATCTTCCAACTCTTTTTGACCGTGGAAAAGATTAGTAAAATGCACTTGAAAATGCTTTATGCCCTTTATTTCAGTAGAGACTGAGAGAACATCAAAGAAGTACTCGTCAAGGCGTTTCTTCAAATTTGATTTAATAGTCATAACCATATCGAAATCCTCTAAAATTAATTAAATTTGAATATATTAAATATGAAGTTACCATATAAATTAATTTTTTTTACTTACTTGTGTCTGCTTTTGTAACGCCCTCTGCATCTAGAGCTAATACCAAAATTTGACCCTTCAACTTATAATCACTTACAAGTTTCATCGAAGGGAATTTCATATGAACCACGAAGGTATAATCATTAGGGTCAACACTGAAATTGAGATTTGTGTTCCAAATAAATAATTACAATATTTGAGTTTGGCTTTATAATTAAATCTCACCTACTCTTGTATGCATTTACACTACTTAAACCATAAATTTCTAAATTTTTGAACTCGAATTGTAAATCACCTAATCTCTGAGTGGACAAACGTGCCTTTTTTAATGTCAATGGGTCGAAAGTTCCAACTTCTTTTGCTCCAGGTACACCTTAATAAAATAAAATTTATTTAGCAAAGAATTTTTAAGAATTTAAATATTATTTATTTTTATAAATTATTATAAATATGTAAAGGGAATTTTAGTCTTCACATATAATAATGCACAAACAAGTAAGAGGTTCTATATTTGGAATAAATCATAATGTAGCCCTTGGCCTGGCTGCTGAGGAAGCATGAGCTCACTCTCTATTTGCTTGTAGCATAAAATGATCAGAAATCAACTTGCCCGCAACTCAAACTTGAGTTATCTTAGATCTTTCGCTTAGTAAGTTATTAAATTGCCTACATTATTGTACTAATCTAGATGAAATGCAGATTGCTGATACAGCTTTAATAGCCACCTGACTGTCAGTAAGAATATAGAGTTCTTTTTCAAGCAAGTCCACGTTTAAAGTAAAAAAAGATGCTCTAAGAATGGCGAAAGTTTCTGCCTAAAACATTGAGGTGAATTCTGAGAGATGGTAGAATTTAGTAATCTCTAGGTTCGACTCTAATCTAACTCTACGTTTTTATCCATCTTACACCCGTAGATGTAGACCGCAATCTTTACCAGTGTTATAAATAGTTCTGCCTCCCATTTCTCATCTGAAATAGTTTTGCTGGCAAAGTTATTATCGAAGAACATAACTCCTCAAAGTCAGTCTTACCATTTTAGAAATTGTGTACTAATCAATCACAAATTTCCCAATAATTAGCTTTTTATATTGATTTCTAAATCATTAAATACACAGACACTCTTTAGAATTAAAAATATGGCTATAATATAAACTCCTAAGTAATCCTTCTTTGGACTGAAATTCGGACTTTAAATGCTGAAAGAATACATTCATTATTGAATTCATTCATTATTGAGAATTCTTAGAAAAAAAATGTGATCAGATATATTATTTTATATTTTTCATAACCTGTTTCTTTTATCTAAAATTACGTAAGATTTCGAAAAAAATTAATAGATTATATACTCAAATACTCAAACATTCAAACATATGAATTAAAAAACATTTATAAAAATGTATATGGCTAGATCAAATTTTATAATGAATCCTGTAACATCAGTATATATAAGTTCTGTGTATATAAAAACCGAAATATTTTAATAAAATTTTAAAATAATTAATAATTAATAAAAAGTAATACATAACTCAACATCAACAACAGACATCATATATATCAAATATTCTTTTATATAATTTTACATACCATTCTTCCATACTTTGAATATTTGTTCCAGAATTTTGCCAAAGCATTTCTCATCAACATTTGAATGTATTGTACATGGTTTCCAAAACTCAGCTAAAACATCATATAAATATTTATATATTTCAATTTTATATATATTTATATATATTTATTATACAATTTTTAAGCTAATTGTTTTCACTTACGAGGATCTTTAAGATAATCATCATGCTGATCACTCGAAGTGAACGCGGAATAAATCAATACCAAAGCACATAGAATAATTTTATTGTTCATCACTGCACTGTTTGAGATACTTTAATCTACTGAATTTTAATTTCAATAGGTTATTTGCAGGAAGTGAAGACACTGTATTTATAATTATGCAAAACTGTATAACATGATTCACTGACTTAAATGCAGTTTGTTCTTAATCAAATAACTGGATTTTCTAGAGTTTTGCGTTTTATTTAAAATTAATTAAAAATATACAAATTTATTTAATTGTTATATATAATACTCATATATTTATGTGTTGTAATTATAATGCGATTGAATAAGGGATTTTAAAATTATATATTTATTCAGTGCAAGAAACATTTCACACATTGTTAGTACACAAATGACGTAAATAATTAAGAAATGACTTAAGTGAGTGATTAAGTAAATTTTAATTACTAGTCAGTCAGGAATTTTCTATAAATTAAGATATTTAAATTCTAAATAATTGATTTAATATTAATTTAACTTATATTGTAGTTAATTTTATTGTAGTTAATTTTATTGTAGTTAATTACATTGTAGTTAATTATATTGTAGTTAATTATATTGTAGTTAATATAAATATTATTTCTTTTTTGATGTACGCCATAATTGTATTCAGAAACTTTTTAACCCTTTTTTGTCGTTATACTTAACAGTTCCATAAAATTCTCTACGTATTTATTTTTTGCTATAAATATATTCATATTTTGGTTTCAATATACAGAATATATGATTAAGTAATATCATTATTATAATTTCTGATCAAGGTATGTACTTTTTTTTTTTTATTATTAAAAGAGTTGACGTGAAAATTGCCCAACAGCCGGTACTGCGGCCAGAAGACACCTATTGTA